AACTTTCATCAAACGAGTTCTTAGCACTGCACGTATCGCTAATGACATTGAAAAGATAGTAATAAGAAGCGAGGCAACCCATGTCCTTTGAATCGGCTAAAAATTGCCGATTAATCCCGATTCATCGAAACGATAATCGTGAGCTGAATCGCGATAGAATCGCCGATTATTCCCGATTATTTCAGCGATTTTTACGATAAATCGTGATATTATGCAAGATTTAACCGTCTGTTTACTGATATTTTCTACTATTTCATTGGTTCTTTTGGAGACACATATTTGGATTTTTTCTTGAATTTAATTCAACTTTTTTTTGTTCTCAAGATCCAAGCCGATCAGATCGTGCGATCTGTCCGATCTCGAGCTGGTCTGATTCTTATCAGACCGCTTCAGTGTAGTCCTCTCCAGATCATGGATCGGGATTGGCATTTCCTTGATTAAAAATAACCAAGAAATAATTTATAAGAAAAGTATATTTCGAAAACTTATTTGTTATGCATTGAACGGCGTTGTTTATATATCCGTGTGTGTTCATAACAAAACGGTGAATGAATAATTGTCATGATTTATCAATGATTTTTGAAAATCAGCTCTTCTCCCATAATCGCAATAAAATCTGATATAATCATCGATCTTTTAAAGAAATACGATAAATCATGATTTTACGCCAATTTTTTAGAAAATCGCGAAAATCGCGGTGATTCTCATGACATGGGAAAATTTTCATTTCTTTTCTTTCATCAGATACTTGAAACAGATAACGGAACCGCACAATTCAATTAATTCACCTGTTTTATTCCAACATATGGCCAATGAAAAAGTCAAGAAAATGCACGTCAATGCATTATGAAATTGTCACTCTCCAAAAGAAATCAGCTGAAAAATACTCAACACTCAAGGAAATCTGGCTACATCACGAATGACCACAAACAGAGTTCGTCTCTGTCCAAACACTTTTCAATAAAGAATAGACAAAATTCGAAGCACCAAACAAATTTTATCTAACCGTTGTAGTGAAGATACGTCCTTCTCAGTGATAGCAATAAATAATAGTTCGTTGTTACGACTAAGAATAAGGCAATTTTTCAAAACTTGAATTAATGATGATAGATTTTCGATGAATATTTTCTCTAAACATTGACCATCCCTAACACGATACATCTATAATAATGACTCTTTTTTGAGTTATTCCAAATAGATGTCTATCATCTTCTGCACAACAAAAGATATCGCATGGCATTTCTACCTGAATTTCACCATGAAATATTTTATTTATGTCATAGAAAAACCATTTATTCTTGCTACTATCATTAATAATAAGACTATTGTAATTTGTGTCAAGCTGTTCGAACTTTTCTTGATTCCAGCTCCAAATATGCACTCGTGAATTTTATTTGTAGAAGGTATTTTTGTAATATTAATTGTCTTATCCAAGATTACTGGAAGATATTTTATTATTTTCTCATTAGAATTCCACCCAGTTAACAATGAATGATCATCGGATAAGATAAACAATTTCGATTGTTCAGATATGACAACACTCAATAGAGAGTGAAATTCAAAATCGACATTAGTAAGAATGCACAATTCGAAAAGACAATTAGTATTCATTTCAAAAATTTGTCGTTTTTGACTACTGAGAATTATAAACGACGAACGCAGTGCACATATTTGAATGAAATCATATTGAAATTAATTTTACTAAAACAATACGTCTCTATCTGCCATCTAGATTGTCTAAAATTATTCTTTTTCAAAACCTCTTCGACTCTACTGTTAACTTCTTCTTATTCATTTTATCAGCTTCAAAAAAAAACCAAAAAACGTGCAACAATGCACAGAACTTTATTATGTTTTTAATGATCTTTATCCACTTATTAAATATCTATCTCTATCATAAAAAAAATACAGGTAAAATATGCACTCAACATACAAAAAAACAGACTATTTACTGATCCTTGAGATCTAACCAATAAAATTTTTTTGGTTTGATCAATATTCGTGATGATGCAATAAACATCTATTTCAGATGTCTCTTCGACCAAATTTAGAATCAAATACTATTCTACATTTTACACTATGCTATTATTCTAGTTCAAAACATATAGTCGGTACTCGTTGTGAAAATCAGTCTTCATGAGAATGTTGTAATTCCTTAGCATCTGAACATGTTCGAACACTTATACAAGCATAAAATCGTCGTGCATTTCCAATTTTATCATATACTCAAGCGGGTGCTATTGTTCAAGAAGATTTAAGTGAAGCATCAGGTATAGTTGGTGTTAAACAAGTTCCTATTGATCTATTAATAACAAATATAATTTATGTCATATTTTTATATACACATAAATGTCAATAACCGTTTATGGTAAGTACAGATAAAAAAATTCAAAGAAAAATCTTTATATTTAGCATATTCGTCTAGCACGAAATGATCGAAATAATGAACAAGCTCGAACGGCTATTCGAGATAATAGATATGAAACTGTATTAAGTCTTATGCCGAAATCTATTGGATCATTGATTGTTCTTTTTTACTGGATCAGAAAATATTTTTCAACTATAGATTAACATGTGAACTTTAGGCTGTTCAAGAAGTCTTTTTATACCAGTTAAGAAAATAATTCCTTTATTATTTTATTTAACGCGACTAATAAAATCTATGGATGTGTTATCAATCGTAAAGATCATTTAATTAAGAACGAAACAGGAGCATACAATAAACAAAAACTTCTTAAATTTAGTAAATAGAAATTTTATTCATCCAGAATATTACATCTAAGAGTAAAAAATATCTACATTGAATATAAAATTTACTGTTAAATGTATTTATAATTTTTATCTACTTGATTGTCTTATTCATCATACACTTTTAAATATATAAATCCTCTGTAGATTGCTCCATATATTTCATGTATAATCAATGAAATTTATTGGAAACCATTTCAACCAAAATGAGTTTATATTGATAATGCAAATCAGTTATGAGTTCCATCACCAGAATGGACACAAAATGATCCAAGATCTAATTGTCCATCATTACCTCATCGACTTATAGTTATCTATGATATAACAACTGATAAAGGTTGTAGTATTGCAATAGTTCAACAAATAACAAGTATTGATTATCCGTTTTTATTACATCATACTAAAACAAATGCATCTGGACAGAGATGATTAATAAACCAAGCAAAAAAAAAACTTTAGTTTTGATGGTCCTGATATATTAGTTTGTTCAATTGATAATATGCCAACAGAATTACCATTAGAATCAACTGTTTATTTTGGTTCAAACCTTTGGGATATAAGTCAAATAGGAATGTTATTATTATGGTCGTTCAGAATTCATCATCACAGATTGAACAGACTCATCTCAAAAACCTCAACCAATAGATTCATGCCATTTCGATGATTGAATTGACATAAAACCATCGGGACAATCGAATAAATAAAGATTATTACTCGAAAACCTTATATAAATAATAATTCTTTTTTTTTAAATATATAGCCGATTCTAACAACAAATGGTCAATTAACACCAAAATAGGCTTATATAAAACAAATACGAAAGGGTGTGGATGTGGGTGTGGAATTTCTCTTTTCCCCCACACTCACACCCTTCTATTGCATTTCATAAATATATATATATTACTACTATTGAATGAGACTGATTTGATATATCTTATATTGCAGTGATTGTTTTCTCAAAACAAATTTCCATAGAACTACAAACAAATAATAAAACGATTTTATTTTAATAATTGAACATTTATTTAATCGGATTATCTTTCAAATTTGTTAAGTAGGATTCATTTTAAAAGTAGAAAAAAATCACCATTTGAAGATATTTATTGTCAGATATTCTCTTTTGTTTATAATATCAAATATATATATATATATCTTAATTTGAATATAAAAGAGGAAAATTGATAATATTATATTTAAAAGACGTCAATTATTTCGAACATACGAAGAGGACAATAAACATATTCACCCGATGATAATTGACCACTTGTTTCGTTATCAGAACAATAAATAGATAAATATATCATTTTATCTTGAATATTTATTCATCTATTTCATTTTACCTTTGTCTATCTATTTAACAAAACAAATAATTAATTTATTCAAATATTTAATTATGTAACCTTGACACCAAACAGATTTTATTCGAATTCGACGAGAATATAATCGGATATTTCGACTAAATATTTCAATCAATTTAAATATGAATAAATTAATTTTAATAACAATATGAATATTACAAAATGTATATATCCATTTGAATATTGATTAACAATTTCAATCAATAATAGATATATAAAAAAAAAGGCATTTGCATATATATCCTAAAATAAAATAAAGATAATAAATAATAATATTTATTTTAAATATATCTATTATCGAACAATAAAAGGTAAATAAAGTTGTTTACTTAATTTATTTGATTATATAATAACTAATCAAGATTCGTCTGTATATTTCATATAATTAAAGTAAGTATATTTCCATTGTAATCTTTATTATTTTAAAATAAAAAAGGAATCTATCATTTAAATCAATTCATTTTCAAACATATTTTTTTTTTGCGTTTCATCGAATAAATCAGTTACACATATCGATATTACTTAATTATCGAACGAAATAGACTGAAGTCCCAAATATTCATTTTTTTTGTGCTTCTTCTTTCTTTTTATCTCTCTCTTGTATTTGATGTTTGATGAGCAAAAGGGTGGGTGTGGGCGTGAGTGTGTGGTGTGGGTGTGTGGGTGTGGGTGTGATTGAAGACAAAATGAAAACCCACACCCATACCACCCACCCACACCCACACCCCACACACACTCACATCCACACCCACCCGCACCCACACCCACCCTTAGTTTTTGGGTGGCCAATTTAGTTGATTGAATAATTCTTCAAAACTTGTTTCATCATTGGCGAAAATTAATAGACATTTTTCATGTCCAAATATACTTGTAATACTTAGCGTATAATCATTTTTATTTTTTCCATTCCAAGATAAGATGTTCAATTAATTTACAATCAGTGACTTGTTCATTTTGTTGTGGTTTCTTGAAAATTATTGTATATGGAGGAAATCTTGCACTTTGTTTAAATCCAACATCGTCAACAGGTTTTTTTTGTTCCCATTGTTGAATGATTTTTCGATGGAGTTGTAGACATTTTGTTGTTGTCGTTGCAGTTGTTGTTGTTGTTTTGAAAATCTGTTGGTTGAATGCTGGAATTTGTTGTATGGAGGCTTTAGAAATTTTTCTTTGGAAAGAAGTTTGTATTTTCTTTAGGTGACACATCGGTCCCTATCATTACTTCAGTGCAATGAATAGGGCGGAGAGAAGGAAGAGAAGATAAAAGAAGAGTACGTTATATAAGTAAGTATGAATCTGAGTGTATCAGTGGTGAGAAAACACGTCCGATCACTATCGATGCACACGAGAGAATGACCGCTCTTCTTATCCGTCGATCGATTGTGCAAATTAATCGAGGCAGGATCATCTTCATTCTGAAATATTTCCTGAACTCCCTAAATCTACTAATTAGATATAGTCATACGTCATTGTCTCCTTTTTCATGGATAGATTCTCATCAAATTTAATCATTTATTTAAGATCATCCTCTTGTCTCTTCTTTCATCTCTGTGTCAAATTCTATATGGGTATTTTTAATTAATCAGTTTTTAATTAAAAGAAAAGCTCATAATACTTCACCATCATATATTGAAAGAGAAACTAATGGCATGGTCTTATGTTGCATTTCATTAAAAGATACTAGACTTCGTCTATTATCTTGTATATTTTCTCTTTTCACTTTTTTCCGTTCTCTACTTTATCTCAGAAAATCTGCAATCTCCGATCGATATTACTAAGAATTCTATTTGTTAGAATTGTATTTTAATCAATGCCGTCGACAGTCATATTATTGAGTGATCGATTGTTTTTCATTCAAAAACAATTAACTCGTTATGTTTACTCAACATTTCTAATCTTCGGCATCATTGGTTCTTGTCTGAACATTTTACTATTGTCCAGAAGGCAGTTTCGTACATCATCCTGTTGCATATGTAAGTTGCTGCATTTACTTAAGAAAAAAAGAATGACAAAAAACGTTCAATACTTCGAGAGTATACAGAAACGATTGTAGAATAATGAACTACAAAAAAATGTGTTAGACTTTCGTTTTCTGATCATTCATAGTTGAGAACCAATCCGTCTTTTTTGTGTAGATTTGTTAGTCATGTCGGCAGCAATAATAATCTTGTTGAGCTGGGTTATTGGTTTATATTTGTATGCACTCGATCATGTCGACCCAGTCACATCAATGCCAGTTTTCTGTAAAATGCGTATTTATGTACTCCAATCGTCTGCTTTGATCTATCGCTGGTGTTTGACTGTCGCCTGTTTTGATCGATATGCACTCACAGCTGTCAATGTACATCTGCGAAACCTTGCGCGAGTATCCATAGCACGTCGTGTAGTGATCATAATCGCCATTACTTGGATCGTATTGCCCATGCATTCTCTGATATTCTATAACCTACGAGAAAATATCTGTGGGATTCTCTATAGTAATGCTGCAGCACTCTATCACAGTATTTTCACAACTATCGTTGCTGCCATTTTTCCGACTTCAATTATGGCTACGTGTGCCTTGTTGATTTATCGTAATCTCGTTCTTAAACAACAACGTCGAGAATTCATTGGTTCGCAAGAAAGAACACGAAAAACTGAAACGAAGAGATTGCAAAGTAAACGTGATCAACAGGTTCTACTGATGCTGTTCATTCAAGCGATATTCTATGTCGTAACAACAGCACCTCTGATGGGCATGTATTTCTACAATGCCTTGACAATCTATGTATCGAATAAGTCAGCCGATCGTATAGCAGTCGAACGATTTTCTTTCTATCTGGCCGAGTTGATCAATTTTCTTTTTCCTACTTGTTCATTTTATTTGTATACTATGGCCTCGCACATATTTCGTCATGAACTAATCAATATGTTATATTCTACTTTTCGTCGTCCATTTGTAAGAAATACTGCACGTGTCATACCCATGACCAATGATATCTCGCTTCGACCTTTGACTGAATATAGACTGAAAGCTAAGTCAGCGTTGGCATTGTCAACTACATATCAGGAGAAGAGAACAAATACGTTGGAGAATGTTCAACAGCAGACAAAACCCGGACCTACGTGAACTTCGATAGATATCTTCATTGTTAAGGCATCAATTTCTAGAGCTGTTCGTCAAGTTAGTTTGAGCAATCTATTTAGAGACAGCACCAGGATTTTTATTTCGGATAGACTCAGTCCACCCAAATTCTAGAAGCATTGAAAAGATAATAAATGCGCTTTTTTGTCTACATTGATATGTTCGATGTTTTTGCTGTATATATGTATGTTGCAGAACAACAAATGCTTCAATATTACTGTTAAACACATTGAAGAAAAGTCCATAATAAAAATATTTTTATTAAGAAAAAAAACTAGAATAAAAAGGATGTCAACGTAAAATAATTTTTGCTGTTTGTTATGATCCATATCTAAAGATGTGGTCATAAGGATTATTCCTTTTTATTCTGTTCTTCTTTCCTGTCATATATGTGTGATGGATATTTCCTTTCCTTCTGCTCTTCTTTCTTTCATTTTGTTTTATGGATTTTTCTTTCACTGTTCATCATTCATGGGATTTTTTATCATATGGATTTTCCAGGACTTGTCATCGCCTATATATAGTGTTTCATTGTTGTAGCAAGTGTGTGGATATATACAGATATATATATATGTCGTGCCAAAGTTACAACTTCGGCAAATATATTTGCCGAAATTATAACTTCGACAATCTGCTTTATCGAAGTTACAACTTCGACAAATAATTTTGTCGAAGTTGTTTTGTACTAATCAAATATAATATTATCAAGAAATGAACGTCATCATGTTAAAACATATAATTAAAGAAAAAATTTCATCTCCACAATATTCATAACTATATTTATTATTGAATATATTGAAAAAAAATTACTAACAAAAAAAGAAGTAGAATAAATCGAATAATTTATTTATTGAGAACTATTTATTGTTGCATGTTGTTGAATTATGACATCGCGAATTGCATGAAACATTTGATTGTTTTCATTTGCAGCGTTTGGTTTTACATCGTCCTTTACAAGAACATTTTAATAAACCTTGACAGCCAGTTATGCTTTGGAGTTTGACTATTTCTCTTAATGACTTTGGTTCACATTGAGTAACATGTGATACCAATAAAGTTGCTGCTCTTGGTGCTTTCGATATCTGATGAAAGCTATAGTAACCAGCAAGAACACCTTCTTCGGTACCTAATTTGTACTTGTCATATTTAAGTTCTATAATAAGAGCCAAAACATTTCGAAGACCAGTGGGACCACGGTCAATTTCGGCAATTGATACCAGCTACGAAAACAATTTATACTATCAAGTCACCGAAAAAAGATAATAAAAGAATACTTACAACATTGTCACCAACGTTTAAATTAATTAATTTTTGTTTTTTAGATGCAATTTGTAGAAATTCATCAGCTTGACGTTTTTGACCTTCTTTCGCAGTTTCATATATTTCATTTGTCCTTTTAATTCGATCATTTAACCCGTTCACGCTTAGATCAGTTTTCATATCTAATTGTTGATTAGATTGTAAATTATCATCTAGTCCATCAATATTTCTGAATGCATTTTCTTTAATATCATCAACAGTTGCACTTTCTTTATTATCATCAGAATCAGCTGTTGGCACACCTAATTCTTCTTCTAATTCTTCTGCTGTTATATTAGTAAATATGGAAGGATGTAATGCTGGTGTGGGTGTGAATGTGTGGGTATAGGTGTGGCTGTGGCTGTGAGTGTGAGTAGAAAGGAAGATGGCATCCACACCCACACCCACACCCACGCCCACACTCACACTCATTCAGACCCAGAGCCACCCCCACACCCACGCCCACACTCACCCAGACCCAGAGCCACCCCCACCCCACACCCACACTCACACCCCACCCACACACACTCACGCCCACGCCCACACCCACACCCCACACTCACACCCTCCTTATGATTAGTATTTTCGAGTGATCGATTGAAGCTATATAGCCAAGAATAAATGTTATTAATTATCTCATCATATGAGGCAATATTGTTTGAAACCTAACAATAATTTTACATTAGATCTAAACATATATTTTTGTTAATGAGAACGATTCGAATTGATCTTGTTTATTAGAATTTCTAGAAAAACGACTTTTTTTTTCTATTATGAGATATTATTCTTTGAAATCTACAAGATTTTCTTCTCATTTTAAATAGATCATATTCATGTAGAAGATAGAAGAATGATTTATTTTAGAAATGTGTCAGAAATGTTTTACAAAAGTGTTGACAATTATGTTGTGACCAATGATAGGTGGGTGAAAATTCTTGACTATGAAGCCAATCAATAACAGCTCCCAGTGATATTGATACCGAATGAGTATCGATAGTCCAAACATGAGAATCATTGGTTTTATTTGCACATTTTAGACCAGCAAAATCGACTTCTTTCTGAGAGGTTCTTTGTTCCATCAGAACATTTCCACACATCCAAATTTGTACAATATAATAATGAGCATCAGTTTTTATTTCAATCCATTCATGTTGAATAGGTGTCGATTGTCCAAGTGAAAGTGTCTTTGCAATAGCTGTAGCTAACCAACTGTAACTACCATGAAGTATTCGACAAGCACGATGACGAATTTCACTAATTATTTCATCTGGATTTCCACAAGTACGCACAGTACCATGACAATACGATCCGAATGCTCCGATTGGTACAATTAACAAACGATCACCAGTAGAAGCTATCGCATTCGACACTTGTTTCATCTTATTCACCATCATGCTAGATGATTCGATCAAAAACGTGTCTTACGACGATCAATGTAACAGATTGATCGAATAAAAAAACATTTGCAGAAACAAAAAAAGAACAAAATGACTGGTTCGAATAGGTTTTTATTCGTTTCTTCTCAATCACATGAGAAATATCCTTTACAAATAAAGTTAGTCATTCAATTGAAAAAGGAATTCCAATGAATGATGCTATGTCAATAGACAGAAAGGAAGAAAAAAATTACAATAAAGTATGTTGTTGTTTGTTTTTGAAAGTCATTTTTATTGATGCACATGAATCTGGTTGATAAACATCGAAAAATACTTGCTTTCTTGCAGAACTTATCAAGTTCAAGACTGCGCAGACGCTTTCGTCGAAGAGTGATCCAACTAATCATACTAAATAGCGTATTATTCAGTTGGTTGCGTATGATAACATGAAGATGGACCTTGTCTTTCTTTTCCAACAGCATGACAGATTTCTTTTTCATCTTCTTAACTTCCTTTCAAGCGATTAAAACATAATCTATGTATCAAATACAGATATTCTAATGATCAGAAATGTTCGTCTGCGTATGTGTCCTATGTTTTGTTCTATGTATGTCGATTAAATGGATAGGGTGTGGGGGTGTGGGTGTGGGTGTGGGGTGTGGGTGGAGTGTGGGTGTGGGTTAACAGACCATCTAGACCCACACCTACATCCCACACCCACAAATTGGTGGATATTTTCAGTGAAAATAGTTATTAACAATTAAAATGTGCCGCAATTACTAAAGTTAGTATTCTATATAATGGTGGATTTTCGAAAATCTGCTTAAATGACAACTTATCGTTATGAGACCGTTTTTTTCGATTTTCTAGTGAGAAGAGAGAAAATCGAGCAGATAATATTTCGTATAGATGTCAATGAACATTTGTGACGATATTTACGTCCTCTATCTCGTTTTTCTGGCTATTCATTTTTTGCCAATATTCTGGATTCACTGCTGTTTTCAAGAGAAAAATTCATTAGTCAACAGAGGTTTATCAAATGTTTTAAATATGATGAAAAGAAGCTATATTATGGACAGGCGTGCTATGTAAAACATTTTGCGTTGATGATTTAAAGTTTGCCTAAAACTTCACAGGAAGTGCTAATGAAGTTATTCATATAAACGACTAGTTAGATTGCACAGAAATAATCCGATTCTTTTTTTCGACACCGTTTTGATCTGGACAGCAAAGAAGAATTAGACAAAGGATCGCGTAACAAACTGTCTATGTGAAGATTATTGATAACAAGTGAAGGGGTAGCTGTAACAAGTCTCTTTGCAAGCATACAAAACACATGAGTGTTTTTAAAATCTTTAAAAAGTGAGATTTCTTCTAGAGTTTCTTCAAATACTAGTGTATGCGGTTATCTGTAAAGTTTTCTGATACTTCAACGCTTTCATATCTATAAAAAGGAGTCAAATGGAATGAAAAGGTCTTCTCTCTGTAAAGCTCTACTCTATTTTTTTGAAAATTAAATCATTTGCTTCAGCCTGTATTAGTATTGTAGTTTGGAAATAAGAAACTCTACACCTTCATTTATCTATTCTAGAGAAAAACAATCTGCACGAATACTGTTACCAATGCTATTCTTTCGACACAAATGACATAACGTGTTGTACAAAAACTTTGACACCAAGCAGTGAAATATGAAAAAGTATAAAGTTAGCGAGAAAATTTTGAAAACTTTCTTTCTTCTTACATCTTTATCTTGTCGAGTTGAAACTTTCAAATGACTGAGACCACTACTTAGGATAGACACAATAAAAATCTCATACTAATAGGTCTTTTCTAGTTCAAGAATACTAAGATTCAGAAGCATAATTCAAACGTATGCTTATAACTTGATAAATTCGTAACATTTCCTCGAAGAAACTTGGGCTCAAACTAACATAGGGTATTTTACTTCTAGCTATGCTCTATCTAACCATCATATCCACAACCGAAAAGCTTTTTAGCACTTCGAGAGGTTCCCTCGTTAGTCGATCCTATGTGATAATCAACGAAGACATGATGTCTTATTGCAAAAATCACGAAATATTTTTTTTATCTAAATAGTTATTAAACATTCACTTGTTAATTGCAAGAAGTTTATAAATGAAAAACTAGTATGAATGTCGTGCCTGTAACATTCAGACATAGCACATTCGTCAATGATGAGATAAAATTTTAATTTCATTGTAATTGAATCATATCGGATCATTTGAAACTGATATGACATTGACAATATGCAATAAAGTAAAAGCAATTGATCTGTTTTCAAACTGAATGAAAGCTTGCATAAATCGTCAAGACATTCAGTAGTGGCCATTCTTCCAATACCTTTGAATATTTCTTATACAAGAAAATAACAAACCAAACATCATACTACGTGACACATAACGTTGATGAGAGCTGCGACAGTCGTAAATAATTATATCTTGTCATGACCTATAAGACGTCGTTTATCATCATCTTTATATAGACCTATCACGAATAAAGAAGGTGTGTGCGTGAGTGTGAGTCCAGAGAACAAAAGCACCCACACCCTTATTAATACGACGGGAATGATTTTCCACTCGAAAATACTATTTAAAAAAAATGTGAATCTAAAAGAGTTTTGTTTCTAACTATCGTTAGAATGAAAAATTTAAATTAGTCTTAGTAATCAAAATAGTTGTCCTATTCAAGACTAAGAATATAGTTCAAGTTAATTCAATAAAATGATTAAAACTGTTGCAATAAGTAAATGAGGTTCATAGGTCAATATTTATGAAGATTGAGAACGTTTTTTTGGCATATTTATCACCGTCACTTTATTGAATACTTTGATGTGGTTATTTGCTGAAAATTTGACGAGCTTCGAATGATTTGCTGATGGTTCTATTTTGACGGATGATCTCTTCAACTTCTGAACATTAATCGTACTACTTTTAACGTTTGAAGGAAATCTAACATTTTGTTGATTTTTCTCACTATCGTGTACTTTGTTGTCGATAATTTGATTTAGTTGAGCTCCAACAGTGCTATGGCGAGGTAATTTGGTAACCGTAACTTCAGCATTTGTGAATGCTGATATTGATGAAAGCCCTAACTCTTGTAAAGAAATAGCTTCAAAATTGTTTTCTTGAGTTTTGCTCGATACTTTTTTTACACGTTGAACCTTGACCTTAGAAGGGTGAACAACTGACTTAATATCATCGACATCGTCTGTTGCTTGTTCGGCTGGTACTTTTCTAATTTCAATTGGATTTTCAGCTTTTGATACTCGCACAATACTAACATGATCTGCAATATTCGAGGGAACAGTTGTTGTTGGCATGTTTTCATTTATTTTTGTTACTGAGAACGAAGTTTTTGCATTACTACTATTGTCAAATATATGGTAAACTTGATAGTTTTTTTGCGGTTTGCTTATTTGGAAGTTGTGAATAAGTTCTAGCGAGGCATGTCTCAATTCTTGTGTACTTGATAGTAAATGTTCGTATTGTTGTCTGGCATCATCTTTTTTCTTTCGTTGGCGACGACGTGCAGCAGGAGCGCTGTTAAAAAATGCCACATGTATTCAATATGTAATAATGTCCTATCGGATGTTTTCGTTTTTTTTTATTTCAGTCAAAACTTACCAAAGAAAGCAATACAAACAACAACAGCAACAACATATGGCCATGAGTAGAGCTAACAATGACAAGCCCAAAATCAGTAACCAATTAATATAATTTCCTAGTTAAATATCAGAAGTTATATATGGATTCAAAACGTCAGAAAAGATTAAAAACGACATATCATATTTTTTGAAACATGACAATAAACAAGGAATTAGTTTTCCTACAAAAGATTGACTTTTCAATTAAGATATTCTCCAGGTTTTGGAATTTTCAAATTTCTAATATTTTTGCCCATCGAAAGCTGTGTTCCTATTGTAAAGAGAAGAATCTCCATAAATAGAAGGACAAACGTTTTTTTGTTTCAGAAACTCTATAAGGTGCCGATGATTGGAAAAGGATCAGATCATACTTTGGATTTCCTGCAAAAAATTGACACATATACATAGATCCTACCTGGACTTTTCGTCGTTGTCATTGTAGTCCTATAATATAAAATAAAATGCTTTTAATGCTTCTATCATGATAACAGAAAAGAACACAAACTATTCAACTAAGATTGATTATTTCTAAAATTCTATTCACACCAAAAATTTTATGAGAGCCCTTTAAGATATTCACAAAACTGTAAAATTTTCACATGTACCTTTACGCACACATTAATTAGTTGAAGCCTAAAATTTGACTGAGAATATTTAGCCTAGAATAGATTCCCTCATAAAATTGAAACGTTTTGTATCACTACTAGAGTTTGTCGAGTCAGACTCGAATTTGGACTCCGAGTCAGCCTTTTTAAATTTTTACTAATCAGGCTCAGTCCTGAATGAAAGTTTGATGTATATAAATTTTTTTAATTCTTAAAGAATTGTTCGTGTTATATACAAGAGCCTTAAATTTATATATACGATAGATAAAAACTAACAAAAACTTATTGACTATAATATCTGAACCTATTTGCCATCAGGCTTGAGTCCCAAAACATTGACCAACTGAGTGCACATCGGATCTGGGACTGAAAATTTTTAAAAATGATGGGCCTGGGTTCGAGTCCAGAAATTCTTCGATCCGACGGGTTTTAATCACTACTCACGTTGTTGTAGTCGTAGAAGTTGTGCACGTAGTGCTAGTTGTAGTAGTAGTTGTTGTTGAAGCGGTAGAGGTTGATGTTGTGGTTGATTCGGTAGTAGTTGTAGTCGTTGTTGTTGTTGGAGCGCAAAGCGCAAGAGATGTTACTACATTGAATGTGATGCAATACTCTACTGATTGTACTTGTTCTCTATTGAGTACAATAAAAACATAATACATTGGATAGAGCAGTGTTTTATCCAAGATTTTCGGGTATGCTGAATCTCAGCTTCAGAGCATGAGATCCAGATGAAATTCACAAACGATGCTATTGGACCTAAATGATGAGTTTTTATCCGAAAATTTTTTCGATGGGAGTTTTTGAAAAAAAAATTTTTTTATCGAAAGATATTCATCCGTTTAGGAGTTATAACATTCTCACGTTTTTCTACACGTCACAAAATTTTTGCAAAAATTAAAAACGTTTTAGCATCTGAACGGATACATATTTTTCGATGAAATTTTAAATCTGTCGATGAAACTCGATATAGATTACATTTAAATTCTCAAAAACAGAATACTTCTAAAAGCGAAAAAATGACCGGGTCAAATAAAAAAAAATTTTTTTTAGCAAACTTCGATCGAAAAAATTTTAGATAAAAACTGATCATTTGGTTCCAATATCATCCTCTGTGAGTTTCATCTGGATCCCATGCTCTAAAGCTGAGATCCAGCACACTCAAAAATCATGGCTAAAACGCTGGGATAAAGATTAGAATAGAAAAATTTTACTCTGTATAGGCAATCATGCATAACTCTTCTGATCCAATTTGATTGGTTTGCGGGGTCCAAGTGAAGCTTCTATAGGATAATGATGAATTTGTAGTTGATTTCATTAGGTTCCCAACTACCATACCAGATATTCCAGTTGTGATGACGAATTCTGCAATATCAACATCGTTTGGGTCACACATTGTCATCGCATAAATACTAAAGCTCTTTTGAATATCAGTCAGAACTTCCATACAATCTACATAAGGTATAATTACTGGTGGTTGTGAGCAGAATGGGTCTGGCATCACATAAATTAAAAATTGAATTGGTATCGAACTCATTGGAGTAGTACTTGATTCATTGATAAAATCTTCTACCTACATCATAGAAAAGAATTTATTTGGTCTTGAACTGTCAAATTTTCAAAGTAAGGAAGTAATAATTTTCTATTTTTTAATTCACAGTAGTTTCTGTTTTGTAATACGCATATGAGCACGATTGCATAGCTAATCAGTCAAAACGATCAGCGTTCTAAACTTTGACTCGTCTCTATTTTCATCAATAGATCATGAGTTTTTTTTCAGAAAACTCTCGTATAAATGCTACTATGTCTTCTAAAATGATTACTTTATTTTGGTTTGTTGAAATCAAATTCATGGTGGTGTAAGTTATGCAGTTGAAATTCTGATATGATTCAATTTAGAAAATGAGTGCTCATATTTAAAAGGATCTTTTCTCTTCATAATCAATGTCACTTTAGAAATATGTCAATGTTAGGACGATTTTTCAGATTATTTGGAGATGTAGCAGAGAGGATGTAGTAAAATTTTCGGTTCGATACCATGTTATTTTCCTGAGATATTTACCAATGAAGAATCACAAAAATAATTAAATTGGCAACCTAAAACTCTGTGTTTGCTTGTATATCTGTATATTTTGTTTTTCTTGCCTTTGAAAGAAGAGATCAGACTGCAAGGCCTGAAAGAATTCTTTTCTTAAATGTCTTCAGTTTTTAGCTGCGTTGCACTTGTCATGCTGAACCTCCAAGCAAGAAGAGGTAAGACTCTAAAAAGAAGGGCACTCTTTACACTTGCCTCTCAACGTGTTCTTTCAAATGAAAAAAAAATAAAAAAAATAAAATGATAGCGCACTAAAAATATCGGGTGATTAAATTTAACAATTTTTGTCATCCTTCTTGGTGAACGACTCATAAAAATAGCATGGTGTCGAGTTAAAAAATTCATCATATCGTCTTAGACACGAGCCCAGTCAATGCTCAAATGGTTATACTATGTGAATGTTTCTAGTTTGAAATTTACTTCGAGGAGAAGAGCTTCATTTATACATATTATTCTAAGTAGGAAAAATTTGCTAGCTACATAGATATTCTGGACAAATTTATCAGTTAGGAAAATATTTCAAAATAATGATTGCTCCAGTTACAATAAAGTATTGATTTGCTCGTTGAATAATTATTGAGTAAATCATTCTTTGAAATGGCTTTAGTTTTCCTTTAAATAATTTACTTACTTGAATAGCAACTGCATACCAGGTATTAGGCACTAATCCTGTGAATGACAGAGTACAATTGGACAACGTAGTACCATTTGGTAAACCATTTGGATAACAAATACCACCACATTCATCAATAGCTTGTCGTGTGCCATACGACAGTGTAGATGCAATTGTTCCAGAAGTTTCGATCGTAGTCGATATGGTAGTATGTGATAATGGTGGGCATGTGTACTTTGTAGAACAACTTCCGCCAGTACAAGTAGTCCCGACACAACCGGAACAGCTGCAAGGACAGTATCTTGCACATGTCCTATAACAGTTATAGCAAGGATCTCCGTCTCTTTTCTTTCTCATATAAATAGCGCCAGTGTCTATGAACAATCTTTTATCGACATGACCAAAAGATTTATACTCTTCATTTTTGTTTTCAATCAATCGTCTTCGTCGATTGACTCCTGGTATGTATTTTGACCATCGACAGCGTATATCATCGCCTGCATTAGCGTCGGAAACAGGAATTCGAATCTGAGTAGTTTTGTTCACAACGGTATATTGTGGAGAAACAAAACTTGCTACTGGTGGCGTGTTTATAAAGCCATCATCTCGAAGTCGAATATCAATAAAAGTTGTTATTGACCATTGAAGACCACTTTGGGATGGATCATCGATTGGTATCCAAGCACTTCCCATATACGATAAGTAAAAATGTGCACCAGCCGACAATGTAATATTGGTTGATCGTTCGCTTGTCATCATACCTAATGATGAGCTAGTTGAAATACAGTCAGTTAATATATTAATTGGTTTAGTTGAATAGCCACCATCAGTTGAACAATCAGCAATACATGTCAAATTAGTATTTGCACTGCTTCGTCCAGTAGTTGAAATCGGTACATTTGTTGCACAACTTATAGTCGGATACGCCCATGAGTAGGTCTGCGTGATACTAATTGAGACTGTAGAGGAATTAGCATAAGGATCTATCGGTTCCCAATGAATGGTGCCCCCGTTGAAATGTTTTCCGTGAATTAGAACAACGCAATAAAGTATTGCCAATATTAAAGTAACCATTGTGTTCTTGTTTTTCTCAAAAAAAAAATCAATGTCTGAAAAATCATGCAATGATTGCTTATCTTGTATAGAAGATATAACTATAACCATTCGGCAAAAATTCGGCTTCCTAACTTTGAACAGAACTATATCAAAATGTTTAGAATGTTCAGAAATATTATCATAAAACGAACTCGCCAATGTTTAAAATAGTAGTTTTGAAGAAATGGGTTGCATACGAGTGGGTATGGAGTGTGGTGGCGGCTGAAGGAGAGTATTATTCTTTTCACATTGACACCCACACCCACATCCATATTCATAATCTATCTCTTCATATGGTAACCAACCTTGATGATTACCAATTGATTTGGTGATACAGTGATTAATCAAAGTGAAATGTGATGTGTACAACAGATCATATCCAGTCCAGACACGTGTGCAGTGATGAGTTAATTCAGTGATCCTTGAATCGAAGAAACACATCGCAGACGAAGAATTCAATCAGTGATGTTGGAATCAGCAAAAATTATGATTAGCAACAAAGACATTGATGAAAATGGACTAGTTCCATATTTCCACCCTATATACTTTCATACTCGTTTTAGATCCTTTTTCACGAAAATTAGTTTGGCATGTGTTCTTTCAATATCCTCAACAGATAAACTTCAATAAAATAAGAAATACCACTCGAATGAATAGATTTCGAAGTGAGATGTTTTTAAATTTTTCTAATCTTAACAGCTTGTATTTATTGTAGAAAGTTCTCGTTCGAAAACAATCTATTATTTTAAAGAGTTTATCCACTACCGTTCAATCTTAAAATTATAATGCATAAGTATATGTATTCAGTAAGATTGTCATATACGCGCGGTGAAACAAAAAGTTCATAGTCATACTGTGTAGAAAGGTTCAGCTCTTACGGATCCTTACGGGAATATTTGGATATATATATAGCGTGTTGTTCAACAACGATTGCATCTATTGTTGTGACCATAATCATACTGTCTAATGAATAAAAAAAATGACTATTTTGTTTTTTCCCTTGAAAAAAAAGTGATGTTCTTCATCAACATCATGTTAACAGAAAAAACTGATTGTTTATTCATGTTTCTATGTAAAATGAATCTCGCAAATTAATTCAAACACTTTACGGAGTTCTCTCTGTACGATCGTTCGAAGTAATAAGTAACTCTCTGATTACCGCCTGATTCGATTATAAAAAAAAGAAAGAAATCTAAATTAGAAGCATGTCTCCGGCTTCATCAACGTCTAATAACATTAAAAATTGACTAATAATAGTATAATAACTTATTTTAGATACTCTGAACTATAAAGTCACCAGATATCGTTTTTTTGAGATGAAAATTAAGGAAAAAACCTGTTGTTTCTTAGAAATATTGATTTCTTCCTGTGTCACGAATTCTTCTCTATCTATTTTAATTTTGAAACTTCTAATTGGAAAGATTCATCGAACGTCTTCATTCAAAGTTACCTATATCAATAGATTCAGCCCAACGACCATAAAAATTAGTATTCTGCTCATAGCATCGAAAGATTTTTAAACGAACAAACTAAGGGATAGAATTTTATTAAATCGTCGTACATGAATATTTTACTAATTGATTATATTCATTTCGTCGAGTTTAATCTTGTTCAATCAATTCTAATAGATATGTAAAATAGTATGAAAAACTTAAATAACTTGCCGATATCCATAAACATAATCTATGATGCAAAAGTAATGGGACAAATGTCGAACCCTATTTTGCTTCGTTAGTAACACGACAAACGAAAAATTTTTTCATTAAAAGATAAAGCTTTTTCTCGCGTTTCGAATTATATATAACTTATTTTTTATAAAACTATCACGGCCAAAACGGTGTTACAGAAAAGAGAAGCACCCTTAAAAAGCATTCGCAGTTTTCTTGTAACTCAGAATGGCAGTGCAAATAGTTGATGCTTATATTTCTTCGATAAATAGGTTCTAAAAAGAAAATTTTTTCCTCTTTCGAGCAATGTATGATTCAGATTTATCATACATTGTTAAGTGAAACGAGATGAGAAAAAAAAAAAAAGAAATGGTCACACAATAAATTTGTTATTTGTATATGAACTCCTTAAAAACATCTTGTAAAACAACAGTTAATTATAATCAACTGTCCTCTACAAGATGTCCTCGACAAGTTCATATAAAAACTACAAATCTATTATGTGAGTGTTTCTCGTTTTTCTCGTCTCATTTCACTTACCAATGTGTAATAAATACGAATCGTACACTGTTCGAAAGAGGAGAAAATTTCCTATCAATGAATAAAAAGTTTTCTTTTTCGAACCTATTTATCGAAGACATGTTAGGATCGACAGTCTGAATGGTGCTTTCATAGAAAAACTGCGAATGCTTTTTAAGGATGTTTCTCTTTTCTGTTGCACCGTTTCGTCTATAATAGTGTTATAAAAAGAAGTTATATATGATTCGAAAGCGGAGAAAAAGCTGTTTCTTTTCGTAATGAGATTTTTCGTTCATCGCGTTTCCAACGAAGCAAGATAAGGTTCCACATTTGTTCCATTACTTTTGTATCATAGGTTATTTTTCGAATAAGTTGCGCCTAGACTCAGATCTACTTGAAACATAGTTACTACTCATGCCATCGAGCAAATGAATATATTAAAAAAAACACTGGTTAATTCAATCTGTTGTTACACAAAGAGAAAAAAAGAATCTGCTCGTTTCTCTTAAACTTCTCACCTACTCGAAAATTCTTTTCTTCAAATTCATTGACACATCATTTTGAATAAAAATTGATTAAAAAACCGAAAGAGCATGACAAAAGCGAATACACTAAAGCTTCACCTGTTTGAGCAAGTTTCAATCAAGATGAAAAGAACCGTATGGAAAAGCTACTTTCATTTTGTTTGATATACATATACTGCAGGTCCCAATCATGAAAATTAGGTACAAAGAAATAGGGCTCAATAAAGAGTTCTTATCGATTCCATCAGCATTGATTCGAAAGTAAAATACAAGATTGTACTGAGAGTTCATTTGAAATGTACTTGCATTTTTTTATGATTCTCATCGTTGCTATATTTATTTTTTCTGCGTATATACATACACATAAATTAAGAAAAAATAATTTGCATCAAGTTTTTCTTTTATGACTTTTTTTTCAATTTTCAAAACTTTGCACCGTTATTTCAATCTATCCTATCAATTTCATACTTAAACTTAAAGGTAAAACATTGGTGTGGGCGTGGATCTTCTCCTCAAGAACACCCACACCTGTCGGTTGGGTATTGTGAGAGAAAATCAGTTTAGTAAATCAAAAATTTAATACAAATTTTTCTATGGCAAAAATATTTATACACAATAGAATTTGATAATATAGACAATATTGTACATAGAAAGTTGTCTTCGTCACATCTTCATTTGTCCAATGCTGTAGTTAAAAATCATCATAAAGTTTCTAGCTGTCTTTTGATAAGAACGAGATCGATAATGATGATCGATAAGATATCCAATAAGCTATATGTGACTTCGAATATCAATCAGAAATATAGAGACAACAATAAAATTTGATACTTAAAGTTTGAATTAGATGCTAGATTTCTATCGAATATTGTTCGAGCTCAGACAAGTAATCTAATTATAAGGTATAGGAAACTCGAACTGCAGGTAATTATTTTTTTTGGCCTTTTTCACATAGGTCGATACAGCTTGAGGGTGTGCGTGTGGATGTGGGTGGGTGGGTGTGCGTGTTGACGCAGAACGTCTCTTCCCCGCACCCACACCTCTACTATCGAAAGTCAAAAACCAAATTCACATCCTCCTGCACTACGTAAGGTTGTTCATTCGAAGTCATCATATTGACTAAACTGTTTGAAATGGTTATTAAAATGAAAGCTCATGTTTATTAGAAACGATTCACAAAGAACGTTATTGGCACAAAAATCAAAATAAAATATTGGCTCTTAACTGAAATCATTAGGTTCTTTCTCAAATCCATATGTGTATCGAAGATTGATCGAATCGATATGTGTAGGTGCCGTTTTTTACACGACGTGTTTGATTTAGAGTCGACTGAAGATCAGAACGCCACTTATCTTTGTCGCAGAGAGGCCACGGAGAGCAATGGAATGATGCACTGCTTAAGTTTTTGAATCGATCGATGAAATCAAACATTTTGGCTAACGAACAATTATGTAATAAATACAAGCGTTCGACATATGGAAAGATATAACACAATTTCTCAATACTATAATCATCGTTATCTTCAAAATAATTCCCAATTTCAAGCATTCGAATGTGTGGCATAGGTCTGCGTCGTACTTGTTTAAGAAACTTTTTCACAGAGCAAATAATCGATATTTTTCTGAGATGTCTCATTTGCTTGAGAAGAGACACAAGTATGGAACTTTCCATCAGTGACCGTAATACTAAATGCTGTACGTGATCTAGGTCGACACTTTTGTGAAGAATGGACAGATGAATGGAACATCTAAGTTCTAATGACTTGACATGAGTAAAACGATGATTACTCATGGCGGGTGATTCTGTCAGTCTCAATTGGGTGATACATTCATAGAAGATCGTATCATCAGGAGTAGTCGAATAGATGGGTGGCTGGAAATATTCGTTTGCTTGTGTTTCAGCAAAGTGAGGTACAGAAAAAAGAGATTCTTCGTTATAAGCTACAAACCATCGTTTCTCTTCAAGCCAAAATGGAGTACGGAATGAATCGAGAGCTTCTTGTTCTATGTCGGACATTTCGAAAGCAAAATTAAATACGTCAAGGTCCTTTGTCAAAGTTTGCCATCGTTGTCCATCGACTAGATCCCTGTCACCTCCAGTACGTATCAAGAAATGTTTGAGATGAGGCAGGTTGAACAAGAGTCGTTCCATATCATTCATTGAAACGTAAAGACCTACAAATAGATCAACCCATATAAACTAAGCAAAGTTAATGATAGAATATAGAAAGCTCGACAATTGAGGATTAGCAAATAATCATTGTTTTGATTGA